CTACCCCTAAGCAATCTTCCTAACCCTAAGATACGGTTCACAGTATCTCAGTTTCTAAAAGAAAGTGCAGGGTGGTATTTTGAAAGTTTAAGTAATTTGATATCCCTTGGTGACTCTTGTCCATTCCTACTTTTCAGGATTGGTCAATGGTTTAGATCTAATTTTCCCATTTCCACTCAAGAAACTTGCCTGCACTACTCTGGCCCTATTAACTCTGCTGTTCATTGGCGAATCACATGGGATGCCTGGCTTCCAGTAGCCATTGAAGAACTTGCTTTCTGAGTTTCTAAGTGGCAAGTCTCTCACACTCTTAGCCAAGTGGTTGTTGTAATCACATATTACACATTTTGGTGCACAGGCATTCTTGGATGGATGTCATCTGGTCCAATCATTTACCTGCATCGTTTGTCAAGTTAGTTTAAGACATCCTGTGTACTTATTACAGTGTGACACTCCTTCTCTGTCTTCAATGCCTATCTCATGTGGTTGGTTGTACACTGTATGACAGAGGTGTGATCTTTAGCTATTTTATACCTTTGCTGTTTCTTGTGCCAGAGGTTTCACTTTCCCTGACATTTCCTTTCCTTAAGGTGCCATTTTTGGTGCTGGTAATCAAACCTGGGGCCTGACGCTAAAGATATAGTCTACCACTGAGCGACATCCCAAGGCATTCTTAAATTTTCCAGATTTCTGCAACTGAAACCCTCTCTCCAAAGCAGCCAGAGGACCAACCTGGGTATCAATATCCAAGCCGTGCTCATCTGACCATGGCAGGTTGGTCCACATTACTTGAGGGTCACAGTCTCCACAACAGGACAAAGGCTGCTGGGGTTGTGAAAAGTCCCATCAACTATTCTGGGCTACCTATTACTTGCTATCTGTTCTTGTGATCTTCCTTAAAATAGCTTGTAAGAGTTTCTCCAGCAAACAGCATGGTTCCAGGCAGTGCAGGCAGTATGGCAGAGCGGAAAGCATACCAGGGAACAAGCTAGGCTGAGACACTTACTAGTTGAGTAGTCTTGGGGGAGCTACTTAATATCCTTGAGCACTGGCTTTTGTCTGCAAAATGAGCCACTTTGTGTATTAATGAGAAGCTGAAAGTTGGATCTCTTCAAGCTGTTTTGGGCAAGGCTTGAAATGTAGATGCCGCATTCTCAAGTTGAAGGTGGCCCATGCTGTGTGTTCTTGTCTTGTGACAATATGACTCTGGCAAGACAACATGCTAAAGTGGAGTGGAGGTATGTAGTTTGGTGGAAGAGACCACATGGGATGTACTGTTAAGAATCTTAGACAAGTTTCCTTCTGGTGCTTTCACCAAAATGGGTTTCTTGATCCTTTCCCGGAGCTCATGTGTAGTGGCATCATTTATGAAGAAGCATGTGACATGTAGGAGAGCTCAAGCTGATTTCAAGAGTGGGGAGGGGAGCACTTTATTTGCAAAGAATAAACCGTTAATTTACACAAACTTACATCCCTGTTTATATACATTATATATAGTTTATATACACAGTATCTCACACAGGATGCTGACCCCCAAAGCAGCATTGGCCTGCTCCAGGCCATTCTCACAACAAATCCCCTCACCCCCATCTCAGCTGGGAACTTTTTGAATAAAGAAACACACCTCAGCCCTCTCCTGGAAAGAGCCCTGAAATGGATTAAGAAAACAAATCAGGTTCTGGGTTGCACATAGCCTAGGTACACCCAGACAAGGGTGGGAACTCATGTAACACTGCGGAGGCTTAAAAGCTGCCTGGCTCTGAGCCAGTCTAGAGCCTTCCAGCCCAGAGGCAGGAGCTGCACAAATGCCTTGGGGGGAGTGTGTGTGAGGAGGCGAGTTCGGATGAAGACTGCAGCCACAGTCCCTGCCTGGCCAGGCTCCTGAAGGGAGACAAGCACTTCTAGCCTTGAGTCTGTGGGTGTATGAAAGAGGAGACCCTCATGGGACAAGCTGCCCCTTTCCATTGCTGAGTCTGGAGGTGGAGACCTGCTCACTGCCCTAGGCAGACCACTTTCCCTGTCTGAGCATCAGTTTCACATGAGTAACAGGATGGGATGTAGGTTGGGCTGAATTCCCTCTAATTGCCTTTCTAGGTCAAAATTTCTCTAAATCTGTTTGCATCTACTAGAAGATACATAAAGTACAAGCACTCAAATGAGGATCAAAGTCCTTGCTTACCTCTAGGGTCCTTAGCTCTTGCTTCCTAAGCTACAGAGATTTGACTCAAGATGGCTAAAGGGGCAGCTAAGGCAAATGCTACATCTTCCAGGGAACCAGTAGCCAAATAACACCCAGCAGCTGCATTTTGTGCCGGGTTGGCTTCTGAATCTCAAGCAGCTGGTAGGGGCTCCTGCCATGCAATTTTCCTTCAAACCTGTCATCTGCTGACCCAAACATGTCCCATTCTGTATGCTAGCCTTGGGGTAACTTCACATCATAACAATTCCAAACTGTAAGTCTATCTCCCTATCCTCCTATCACTAAAACACTCCACCACTTTGCCAATGATCACAGCACAAAAGGCCTCCTACTCTCTACTACTTCCTTCCCCAGCACTCTTCCTCTAGGGCTCCTTGTGAGGGTTTAGAATGAACAAAGGGTAGAGAGAAGCCTAATTCTCCTATGGTCTCTATGCACAGAGGATGTGATGGATGGGGTTGGCATTTCCTGCAGGGACACAGTTAGGAAACTCCTTCCCTCACAGCCATCTGGCTTTGGAATGGTCCTTTCAGGTTCCCCCCTCCCCATTCTTGAGAGACTCTGGCAACATCAAGGTCATTGTAACATGGCAGTTGGAGAGAAGGAATTCATGAAACTACAGAAAGCAGACTGGCTCCCAGCACTTGTGTCTAGGGTTAGGAATGGAAGTGTGATGGCTTGTGTGACAGCTGCTGCTTTTATCAGATGGGTGACAGATCCTAAAGGCTATCCACTCTGTGGGACCCAGAGCTTGAATGGAAGATTTTTCTCAAGACAAGAACTCTTAAGATTGACCACTGGGGCTGTTTTCCAAGAAAATACCCAGTCTTCTTCCAAAGAACTCCTGGCAGGGATTGGCTTGGGAGTCAGACCTCACTAAAGGCTCAGGTCTGTGACTTATGCTGGGTGAGGTCTTAGTCAAAGCTCTTTACTTTTCCTGGCCTTCCCTATACAATGGAACTGTGATATTCTCTACCCTGCCTTCTTCAAAGGAAATAGTAAAAGAGGAAGTGATCTTCAAATACTGAGGAGAGGGTTTGTTAGTTCCTGCTACCACTGCTGATTGTTCAAGGCCTTCAGGGTCAGATGCATATCTAAAGTTTACCTCAGTTCTGGTTATAAGGATGTCATTAGCATTAGACAAAAAGGAGGCTTAGCCTACCACTTCTTGCCCTGACCCTTTTAGGACCAAGCAATGTGGCTACTTGGAAATGGAGGCAGGAAACCTTTTGTGCTTGATGAATGTCAGGGATGTATTCTATCTCTTCAAAAAGAAATAAATTTCAAGAGCAAGGGGATCAGGCTGTACAAGGTTGATCCTCCCTGCTTTGGGCAGCACCTGGCACCCTGAAGCCAGGCAATTGGAAAGAAACTTTGTGAATAATCCTATCATATGACCATGCAGGTAAATTGGTGGAGGTGCCTTTGGATCTGAACTAGGGGTCAGAGCCCTACCCAATAGCCAGACAGTTGATTTCTCTTGAGTCTGGCTCTAGGAGAGCAGCACAGACCTCTATGGCAACAGTAATTGGTTTCTGAAGAAAGACTGGGTGAGTGGGCCATCAGCTGCTGTTCTTTCAGATAAGACCCGACCTAATGGTCACTTGGGTTGACCTAATGATCACTTGGGTTGCAACAAACATGAACAAAACTCCCTGTTTTAGATTTCCACTACTCCCCGTTTCTGGGAAAGGTATAAACATCCTGCTTTGGTAATGTCCAAGATAGCCTAGGGTTTGGGAATTCAGAAGTCTACTGTGGCAGGTCACTGTTGAGAGACACCAATATTCAAACTCTAAAGGGCTTTTAGAGGTCATCCTGTTTAACCATCTGTTCCCAGACACAACTTGGTTAGAATTAGATGACTAATAATTGTATTGCTTATTAGTGCCCAGGTTATTTAAAGACTACACCAGACTCATGTGAGCATGCGTCCCACACAAGGCACCTGTCTCAGACAGAGGTAGGCACTGTGGAGAAAGAAGATAGGATTTCTAGGCAGTCTGGGGAGGGTGACTGGTGGGAAGACTCCAGGTAGTTTTTGGAGCGTGGAGCATAGCTGTAAACAAAGAGAAATGCATGGCCCCAAGTCTAGATTTGGGTTCTTAAATAGGCAGGCTTATGGCCATGCCTGCAATGATTCCAAGGCAGAGCAAAGTTCCCAGCTCTGGAGTCCAGCAAGCTGCCACAGTGTACTTCTCGGCCTGAGTGGGAAGAGTTTTTTGAGCCTCTTGTAGGGTATAGTGCAATACAGCAAGGGTGGCTCCTCTGCCAAGGATGCTTGCTTGGCAGGTTATCGTCTGGGTCTCTGCCATAAGCACTTGCCTTCTTCCTGACCCTCTCCTTAAGTTGCAACCTAATGCCACTCCCAGCCAAGAGAGAAGCAGCAGCCCCCTTGGAGTCAGATAGTCACCCCTAGAATCTGGAGTGCACTTTTGCTTTTTGTGACCTACTGTCTTAGATCCTCAGTTTAGTGCAACAAATGATAAATCTGATGAGGGACCTAGGGGTTGAGGAGTCACCACAAGTCAGTCAGCAGGTAGCCTAAGAAGGCTCTGATTCTTGAACACCCTGGGGCTTCATCAACTGTCCTGGCAACTCAAGGTCATTCTGGGAAGTCACTTAGGCCTCGTCATCCTGGAGTCACTGGGGAATAAATAGCACTGGGGCATTTCTCTCTGTGGCTGCAACGCCAATATACCTCACTCCACAGCAGCACTTAGAGGTTCTGGGAGTCCTGGCTCCCAAACCCGGGGCAGGGGCAAGGGCCAGGGCCAGGGCCAGGATGGAATGGGAGAATCTAGGATGCAGGGGCTTCGCCCAGCCTGATGGCCCCAAAGAAGGTGGTGTGCTTGCTCATATTGATCGAGATGTCAGCGTGCACCATCTTCACGGCAATTTTCTGCCGGGCCTTGAGGAGGCACACGCCTGCAGTATAGCAAGTGTTGTAGTTGGTCTTTCCTGTCTCAATGCTGCGGGTGCACTGCAGGAAGGGCTTCTCATCCACCACCACCTCGTAGCTGGCAAAGTCAGTGAAGTTGATGTAGTACACCTGGGTGAGAGGCAACGAGAAGGGATTGGGGGAGAGAGGAAAAAGAGGGTGGGGCCCTCCCCTGGTGAGCTGATAAAACCTCCTCAGATGAGCTGCCAGTATACTCTGTGCAGGGGGCAGTGCTACCTGAAAGTGTGCCTGTTGGTCAACAGGAACATCAGGGTGACAGGATCACTGTCCTTCCCCTGCTCCATGGGTTCAGGGGGCTGAGCACACCTTTCTTACAGACTGCTTGAGTCCAAGAACTGCACCTTACTTGCCATTTCACCGGCCCCATTCCCTAGCCCTGATATGAAACAATGCTTTGCACATTGATGGAGGTGCTTAATCAACGCTCCAGATAAGCTAACTTCCAGTTCCCATCCTAGAGACTACTTAGGAATACACTTAGGAATCCTTGATGCCTGAGGAAGGTCACAGTAATGACTTCCCTTTTCTCCAGCTTGTGAACAGAAATGCCCCGAGCTTGCAACATACTCTCCTGCACTGCATTCCTCTCCTCACTCATCACACCTTGGCCCTCTCACTTGCTGACTGAAGAAGATGACTGAGAGATGGAAAGCTAGCCCATACAAATGAGATCACGGATGCAAACCCTAGTCTCCTAACTTCATTCTCAGGCCAGGAGGAAGTATAAACCTACGACCTGGTCTCATGGAGACTTTTTAGCTCATATGGGCCACTCCTAATCCTCTCCTGGATCCAGAAATTTAATTTCCATCCTTCATTACCTTTTGTCAGCACAGTCCACTCTGAGCTTTGATTTTTCACCACTACCAAATGGAATTTAGTCCACAGGATATTGGTGTTATGGCCACATGTCCCATAGGAGTGAGGACCTTCTTTCATCTGACAACTTAAATTACTTCATCAAAATGACTCCATGGGCTCTTTGATTGAAAAAAGTGTATTTAAGTGCTGCATAATCTCTTGGGTCAGGACCAAGCTATGTCAGGACATGCTGTGTGCCAGGCAGGTGCTTGTTAGCCCAACTTCTCTGGTCACTTCCTCTTGAAAGCCAGCTTGTTGGCTCTTCAGTCCTTCTGTTCATCTGCCTGTTTGCTGCCTGCCTCCCAGAAACCATGACCTCTAGGCTCATCTACTTCTAGCTCTGAGGAGAGCCCTGATGGAGGCACACATGAGGGATGGAAACAGATGGCCACTGGCAGACCTGGGGGGAGTGGGCCCAGGGCAGGAAAAGGACAAAAGTGGAGGGGAGAGAGGTCTGGGAGAAAGACATCAAGAAGGAGGCAAGAACAACAGAAACAGACAGAAACACATGGGAGAAAGAGGAAGGAAAGACAGTCAGAAATCTTTTTGAGGTAGAGAGAAGGTCCGCAGGAGCACTGCCCATTATCATGCCCAAGCTAGCAGTGTTGTGGGGAGGGGTCTGAGCAGCTCTGGGACTTAGTCTCAAAAACTTAAGAGCAAGGTCAGGTCCATCTGTGGAACCAACAACACAGAGGGGAAACAAGGGCCTGGGGCCCTGCAAGAGGGAGTCAGACAGCAGGGTGTAGGAGGGGTCTCTTTACAGTTTTTCAGTGATATTTTGCTAGGGAAAAAAAATGAAACAGGTTCCCTTGGTCTTTCCTCCCTTCAAAGCCCTCCCACTGTGGAATCCACCACCCCTTTCCCCAGCATAGCAGGAAGTAAGCCATTGGATGGTCTTGGCTTGCTCCACAGTGCCCCTAGGTGGCCTGCACCAGATCTGCACCCTGGATATAAAAAGAGTTAGGCCTAAGACCGTACTCACTTCTACCTGACTATAGATGAAGTAGGTGCCGTCCACCAGTACCTCCAGCTCCCCGCTGCGGGGATGTAGCTTAAACACCTTGGGGTTCATAGTGATGCGGGACCAGTCATTGAGCACTCCACCTGAAAGATCTCAGTATGAGAGAAGGGCAGTCACTCAGTACATGTCAAAATAATCTGGGCAACAGAAATAAATACCAAGCAGTACCACTCCCTCATTCCCCACTAACCCTATCTAGCTCTGGTGACCACAAAAGTTTCAAGTGCCAAGCTTTAAGAAGAACATTTGGAAGCAGGAAAGGCATACTCTTTGTAAAATGGTTTCTAGGCCTGTCTCAGGACCTACAGATCTGTGTGTCAGTCGTTATCCTTGCATTCTTGACCTTTCATCAGCAAGGCTCTTTACCTTCTAGCTGGAATCTGAGGTGGTGATGCTGGAAGAGGAGAGTAGGTACATAACCATATTTTCTTTGTTGTTATGGTGACTGCACAGGCAAAATCCAGACACTGAGTGGCAGACTAAGTCTTAGTATTCAATTTCACTTTCCTGGCAATATCACCCGAATTCCTCTCTTGTCTCAGAGGTTCGTGTGTTTTTTGCCTTCTTCTTAATAGATTCTTTTCTGTGGCTTCTCCACACCCACTCCTTTCTGGGAAGCCTCCAGAGGGCCCCAGGAAACCACTTAATCAAACGATCTATCTGTCTGGAAAACTAGATAGTTCAGTATCAGGGGTGATCAAACATACTCCAAGGCAATTGGGGATAGTGAGCACCAGTAACCAGGTCCCATGGTTGAGGGAGAGCTCTATGATACTTGCGGATAACCTGCCAGGTTACAGTAGACCAGCTAGGAGGATATGGGAAAGTGTGTAGGGATTGAGGCATCCTTGGCAAAGCATCTGTTTCATATACCCAATTCAGTTGGGGACACAGCATGGGAGGACAGAGGGATATTTCTCTTTCCATCCTGCAGATAGAAAGATGTCCCTTCCTACCATAAAAGGAGGGAACCTACACACCGGGGGCTTTTTCTCTCAGCCATTTGTTCTTCACATAAAAATATTATGGTTTAAACATCCACACTTGGCCAGTGTCAGAAGGTCAGCCTCTCTGAAGTATGAGGGAAAAGGAAGCCATCTGAGTTAACAGTAGATTCTGGTTCCAGTACTTCAGTGGCCTTCTCTGTCTAGTGTCCTCTCACTGCCACCTCCCTCACTTCTGGTAGTCAGTGTAAACTACTACTGTGAATTAACTAGCCTAAGGGATTAGAAATTGTCTTGCTCTTTTATGGTAGTGGAGGCAAGATGAGTGGCTTCTGCCATAGAATGAACATTAAGGCCACCACTTAGATACCCAAGCAAATCTTGTTCCTTTCTGACTATGGTCTTCCAGGTGGGTGGTGATTACGGCTCACTTGGGACCCTGGGTCCCACAGTGCTTGATCCTCTGCAGGGATCCTAGGAGTTTTCTCTTCTCTGCTCCTATTTGTACTTGTGAGGCTATTAGGCTGGGGTGGTGGTTTGAATAGAAATGGACCCCACAGAATCTTGTAATTGAATCCTTGGTCCATAGGGAGTGTCACTGTTAAAAGATATGGCCTTGTTGGAGAAAGTGTGTCACTGTTGTGGCGGACTTTGAGGTCTCATATGCTCAAGCTATGTCCAATGTGGCTCAAAATCTCCTTCCACTGCCTGGGGATAAAAGAGAACTCTTGGCTCCTTCTCCAGCATCAAGTCTGCCTGCATGCTGCCATACTTCTTGCCATGATGATAATGGACTAAATCTCTGAAACAGTAGGCCAGCCTCAATTAAATGTTTTACTTTCCAAGAGTTGCTGTGGTCATGGTGTCTCTTTATAGCAATAGAAACTCTAACTAAGACAGCTGGGTATTCAAGTCACAGTCAAGTGAGTAACTAAGTCCAATGATTAGGGGATCTCAGCACAGACAGTTCAGGACTGACTGAACTCTTTTTTTTCCAACTTTTTAAATTTGAATTAGAAACAGGATTGTTTTACATGACAATCCCAGTTCCCTTCTCCCATCCATCCTCCCCTACCCTCCCAACTCACACCTTATCTGTCACATATCTTTTCTGCTCCCCCTGGATGGTGAGGCCTTCCATAGGGTGTCATCAGTGTCTATTGTATCCTTTGGGATAGGGCCTAGGCCCACCCCTGTATCTTGGCTCAGGGAGCATTCCATATGGAATGGGCTCCCAAAGTCCACACCTATGCTAGGGATAAATACTAGGCTTCTACAGGAGGTCCCATAGATTTCTGAGGTTTCCTCACAGAAACTCATGTTCCTGGGGTCTGGATCAGTCCCATGCTGGTATTCCAGCTATCAGACTGGGGAGCAAGAGTTCCCGGATGATCAGGTCAGCTGTTTATGTGGGTTTCACCAGCCTAGTCTGGACCTCTGTGCTCTTTTTTTTTCAAGACAGGTTTTCTCTGTGTTACAGTTCTGACTGTCCTGTAATCCACTTTGTAGACCAGGCTGGCCTCGAACTACAGAGATCTGCCTGTCTCTACCTCCCGAGTGCTGGGATTAAAGGTGTGTGCCACCACTGCCTGGCTGACTGACTGCACTCTTAGAAGCTGTCCCCATGTAGCAGGTTTTGTAGCCTTCATTTATTGTTTCTGCTCACAGCCCCTCCCTTCCACTCCAAGCTCTGTAAGCATCTGGCATCTTGGCTGGCTTGTTGTTTCCCAAGACTCCTGGGGGTTCATGTATTTTAGGCTTTGGGCACCCTGGAGACTGGACATTATTTCAAAGTGATGTTCTTTAATGAATGCTCATGTCTCTTTGGGGGAAGTGAATGAGCCTAATCATTCAGTGGAGTGTATACACACATCACCGAAGTAGCATAGCACAGTGCCAAGAGTCAGAAAGATGTGCTTTTGAATCTTAGTTCCCAACTTAACTACAAAATCTTAGACCAGTTAATTAAGTTCTCTGAGCTTTGTTTCTGTGTCTGTAAAAAAGGAGAATTGCAATGCCCACCTCATAGAGTAGTTGTGAATGTTAAATGAAACAAAAGACAAAATATTCGGGATTTCTACAGTGCCTTGCAAACATAAGGCAGCATGGTTCCTCTTTGTATTTCCACTCTCTTTGGGACTCTGTTTTCCCATCTCATAAATGAGGGTATAACATTAAATCAGCATTTCTCAGCCCCCCACATGTTTTCACGTTTGATAGACACTAGTGTGTCACATTTTCTGGTGGAAACACCCTTTCCACCCATTTTCTGTATAGAGGAATCAGACAAAATAATTTATTTAATATAGTTCTATATTCCTTAGTTTTCACTGTGAAAATGCTTATCAAAATACAAATTCTGTGATGACTCTAACATAACTATCAAGACAACCTAGATAGATGATGTCCGAGGTCTATTCAGATCCCATATTAGTGGATTTCAAGAGCAATTTAGGGCCTGAGGATGCACTTCAATGGTAGTGTGCTGTGCTAGCATTCACAAGGCCCTGGGTTTGCCCCCTTGCACTGCAAAAACAAAACTAAATGCAATTAGGGTGTAGCAACTGGCCTTGGTGCAAGCAGTTACTTATTATAGCCAGTAGAGGGCACGATGGAGTAGGAAATGCCCTTCTATACCAAGGATATGCAGGGACTTGGGAGGAGCTAGACTGGCTGATTATTTGGAGGCTGGGAATGAGGGAAGGGAGAAACTCCTTGTAGGGAGAGAGACTACTTTGATTCTTACCATTCTTGACTTGAATTGCTGACCCTTGGCCCTGAAGATGCACCACAGCTGGCTGGGAGGATGAGAAGAAGAGAGTCACTGTGATGGCTGCTTGCTATGTCATGCAGTCCCCGTGTTTTTACCTCTGGCTCCTAGACTCCTTTTTATCCCAATTCTGACCCCTTTTCTCTGTCTTGAAATAGCTTTCTTAAAAAAATTAGTAGGACTCTGTAGTTCTACCACTTCTTCAGCCAAATTTGATGCCTCTGAGCTTTATTTCCCCAACTGTAAAATGGGAATTACAAGAATCTCTGTCTGGCCATTCTCACAAGGGCACCTGCAGATCTAATAAGGAAGTGAATATAAAATTGCCCACAAGCCATGAAGAACTGTGCAACTGTGTAGATTTATCATTGTGGCCAAACAACTGTAGTTGCCGGGAGGAGACAAGGCCAGACTAGGCAGTAGAATTTGCCAGAAGAGACAGATTGGGAAGCTCAAAGAACAGGAAGGACCCTATCAGGACATTAAGGGAAGCCCAGACTGCCCTTGGCCTAGAGCTAGTTGGCTGCTTTTCAAAGACACACTTTTAAACTTCTCAGCTGCAGAGTCTGAGTGCCCATTGGGCATCTGGGGTGGCTTGGAAGTCAGAGCCCTAGATGTATAGGCTTGGCAGGCAGGTTATTTCTATGGACTACTGAACCTGGCCGTAGAGACATTCTGTCACTCATGGAATGAGTAAAATGGTCCAGGCAAGACTGTTCTCTTAGCTAAAGGCACATCCTTGGGGCAAATCTTTTCAATTCAGACCTTGGCAGTGGCTGCCAGTGAAAACCTCAGAACCTCCAGGGCAACACAAAATAAAGGCTCTCAGAATTTCGTAGGAAGCAGACTCCAAGGTGACCCCAAGCCTGAGGTCATCCCTCATCCCCAGGACGACAGTAATCGACAGCTAACCTGGTTTTCTCGAGTTCCAGTTTTATCAGCAGCACCTGCAAAATAGGACAGGGCAGTGAGTGTTGTACTCTTTCCTACTTCCCTTTTCTATTTCAGCAACCAGGGGTTCAGAGTCCAGATCCCCACAGCCATCCCTGGAGGAATTTTCTACTCCAGGTCTTACAGCTGGAGGGAGTCACAGTACAACATGGGGCCTGTCAACGGGGGTAGAGAATAGTCCCTCCTTCCTATTCCTGTGCCTGACCTTCATCTTCAGAGGGCCCATATCCCATCAAGGCAAGCCCCACTGTGCTCCCATGGAGACCAAAAAGCAGCCATGCTATGCCTGTCATTGTGTGTCCCTAAGACAATGGCACTTGCTTTTTTAGCCCTTTGTTCTTTTCTTACTGACTTCACAAGGACCACTGTCATTTATAAAGATCTTGTTCCTTTACATGTGTCTCTTTGACTCTAGGACATAAACTCTGAGAACAGGGACCACTTAGCAAAATATATCTTTGCACACAGAAATTGCTCAATTAATATTTGTGGAATGATTGGACAAAAAACAACTTTATCTCTTGTGGCCATGGTAACACTGCTGAGCCCTGTTTGAATTACAAGTGAAAGAATCTGCATCCTGCTGCTGAATTTTTAGAGCTAGAGGATTCAGCTGTAAGAGTCCATTTCTTAAAAAACCTAAGATACAGGAGGAGAGCAGGAGAAGGAAATAACAACTAGCATAAGTTCAGGCAGTCTGCCTCCTGTCAACTCTAATTAGGCAGGTTTGGATCTGCAGCTGTACCTGTTGCATGCCCTGCTGGGCTCCAGGAGAAAGATGCAAAGGGATGGAATGGCATTTGAATGAGCAGCATGGTATTTAAGGATGTACTATGAGAAGTACTTGGCTCAGGGTCAGAGTGGTCTTGGTGTCTGGGTTTGCTACAGACACAGCCTGGGTGATTCATAAATTTCTAACCACTTGACGAGAAGTGGCTACTTGTCCACACCAATGGGAAAGGAATCTCAGAGTACATGGGGGGAAGCTATGATAGGGTTGTCATTTTGTCCAGTCCCCAACATTCCTCCTTACAAACTGTTTCCATGCAAACATCATGTGGCACTCCATGCTGGAAATCAGAGTAGGCCAAATCTGTAAGTACAGGAACTCCTCTGAGTGGCTGGGACCTCTTTCTCATACCTCTGTTTTTGGCTCACATGAGTTTATTGGCTCACTATATGAAGGCCTAGAGCCAAAGACGGAATGTGATGGAAGGGTTGGCATGGACCAAGAACAGATGGCCTGTCTGGCACAGCTTGATCTCAACAAGAGTTAGAGCAGGCCAGGCCCTACAAGAGCTTGTTGAGTTCCTAGCTCTACACTGGACTAGGGATTTCTTACTGTACATCACCACTGTTTGAAACTTCCCTGAATATTACCTGCTCCTACTCTACAAAAGCACCTTTTGTAGAGGTTTCTAAGGGGTGGGAGATAGGAGAACTTACCAGAAGGTCCTTGGAGGCCAGGGGGTCCTTGAGGACCAGGAGGGCCAGGAGGGCCAGGTGGTCCCATAACCGTTGTTCCTGGAATCCCAGGAATTCCTGGAATCCCTGGGGGTCCCTGTGGTCCTGGAGGTCCTGGAGGTCCAGGGGGGCCATTGGGCCCAGGGGGCCCTGCTTTCTTTCCTATAATGATAGGATTCAGTGTTATAATTGGAGTTAGTTACTGTGAAGAATATAGTGTCAAGAGTTTACTTTCAGGGGTTCCAGAGCTTCCCAATGATACAAGGTCAGCCATCTAGGAGTTTTTGCTAAAGAGCTGGACATGTTTATACTGCCTCGTCTGACCTACACTTCAAGGAATATTTAAAGACATAGAAATAAACAGCCCCTAAGGAGCCCTGTGCTGTAGGGAAAAGGTTATAACATATTAGAAGTGCCACATTAATGATAGGGACCAAATGTTAAAACAGGTCAGAATGCAAACTTCAAAAAAAGGAGCCTTTGATCTGAGTCCAAAGGATAAGAAGTATTAGGAAATCAGACTTAGGGGCCTCTGTGGTTCTTTTTAGACTTTGACTGTCATTGATAAGTGTGGGGCTTCATTTCATGTCCAGTTGGGTGGACTTGATGTGATTAAAAGAGGATAACGGAAGTCTGACCCCAGGAACACCATCAGCTCCAGGAAGATTTGTCAGGAGACAGA